CTCTGCCTCCCAAGTGCTGGGATTAAAGGTGTGCGCCACCACCGCCAGGCGAAACAGACACTATTCTGCTTTTAATGCTAAGTGCCTCTGTGGTATGAAGGAATGGTGGTTTCTCTTATAAATCTAAGGTGCTCCCAAAATGGAGGTCCAAAAAGACCTTTCTGTTGGTTTGGTTTGGTTTTTTGAGATAGGGCTTCTCTGTGTAATAGTCCTGGCTGTCCTAGAACTCTCTTTGTTCTAGGACAACCTGGCCTGGAACTCACAGAATTCCCGAGTCTGGGATTAAAGGCATGCACCACCTCACTCGGGGGAAAAAAGACAAAAACCCACACTCGGAAAAAAAACAAAAACAAAACTTAAATATATCTGAAAACAAAGACAATTCTTTTTGTGTCTTTGGGGAACTCACTTTGTGGTGCAGGCAGACCTTAACTTTGACATCCTCGTGACTCAGTCTCTCAAGAACTTATTAGGCCTGTATCACCAGGGTGGGCAAGGGGCGGGGGCGGGCACACAGGACATGACGCTTTTGAAAAGCATCATTTCTGCTGGTAGCTGCACATGCCTTTAATCCCAGCAGAGGTCAGTGCAGTGGATCTCTGTGAGTTCCAGGCCAGCTTGGTCTACAACAAGAGTTCCAGAATAGTCAGGGCTGCCACACAGGGAAGTGGGGAAAAAGGCTAAAATATGTATAGCACTTATTACATCCCAGACACTGCTCTAAATGGTTTCATAAATTAATCATTAAAAACATTTTTTAAATTTTTTTTATTATATTTACTTCGAGTGTGTGTGTGTGTGTGTGTGTGTGTGTGTGTGTGTACATGTCCATGGAGTTCTCCTTACCCACTGAATCATCTCATTGGTGCCCAATACATACTCTTATCTCTATTCACCATAACATGGAGAAGTAACCAGATCAGAATAACACGTCTGTTCAGCAGGAGAGCTATGATCTAAAGCCAGCTCCAGACTGCTTGAAGGCTCAATGCTCACACTGCTACAGTCTTCAGAGCTCAAGGCCAGCTCTGCCACTCCACAGGCCATCTTGGAAAAGTTACTAAACTCAGCCTGTTTCTTCATCTTTACAACTTACATAATAAAGTAAATGCCTCAAGGGTCAAGACTATGGGATGTAATACATGAGTATGAGCACGGTTACTCATACACAATAGCAATACATAGCGGGCCATTTTGCTATGTTACTGATGACTATTTAAGAGATTTAAATGATACAATGTCTTCTGGGGTCAAACACAGGGGCTCCAATATATTAGGCAAGCACTCTACCACTGAGCTACACCCCCAGCTTCAAATTACTTTTATCTATTTATTTTGTTTTTACATCCCAACCAGTTTCCCCTCCCTCCCCTCTTCCCCAAATCATGTATTTTTTAAAACGATGTAGAACTTGAAAACAATCAAGCTCGAACCAACACATGTTCCCAAAATACACTCTTTTCATAAAGTTCCTACCTCTTTTTTAGCTGGAGAACTTTTGGTTTTCTTAGGAGTTTGTTTCTCTCCTTTGAGTTCAATGGCGTTTTCTTTCCTTTTTGAGGCCGTCAGCTCTGTGTCTTTGTAGGACCTTTCCTCTTTTGCTTTCATAAGTGCCAGCTTGGAGCTAGCCTTGGGAGAGGAACAGGCTTCGCTCTGGCGAGCTGACGATCTGCAGGGCTGGGCAGACCCTCTGGAGCACCCACCCCTGCTGGGCTGAGCAGGACTGCCAGGCTTCCTTTCGTTTAAGAAGTGCTCTT